GCCATCATGATGTCATGAGTCAGGGACCCCCAGGCTGAGGTTCAGTGGGCTTTAAGTGCTTGTGTGGTTTGGACACTGGACCTGGGGAGACGGACGTGACAGAAGCATCAGAGGAAGGTGTGGACGCCAAACTGGTGGTGGGTGTGTTGGAGATTTCTAGCTGAGGTCTGAGCCAGCTCTGCTTGGAAGATTAACCTCTGTCTGTAGGAGAAATTGAAGGGGCGGGAGCACAGAGAGGCCCCCGCCCCACACCATCCAACCTGAGCACTCTGTGGGTTTGGGGGCTCCAGCAGGCTGCTCCTCGCCCATGGGGCTGAGGACAGGTGCTCCACCGGGGAAGCAGCTCCCACCCCCAGGCCCCAGGGGATGCTGCTGCACCCACTCAGCTCGACAGGAGCACGTGGAGCTTTCTGCTCTTACTGCTGCCTCCTGTTCTGTCACTACCCTCCACCCCTGGCTTCTCTCCTCACCTCAGCACCCAGCCCTCCGCCGGAAGGGGTTCTAGAAAGCCCCATCCAGGTCCTTTCCTAAGATCTTGGCCACCTGAGGCTTTTCCGCACTGCATCGGTGATGTTACTGGAAGGAGGGGCCTGGGAGGGGGCACTGGGCTGTTGTCTCAGTCCAGTTCAGCTCAGCTGGTTTCTTCACCAGCAGGAGGGGCAGCAGAATGCCTGCCTCGGGTCCAGTGAGATCGGGGATGAGGACATGCTGCATAAACTCTGAAGCACTGTACAAACAAAATGTTGCCTCTCCCGTTTTCGCCTTTCTTTCCTATACCTGGAACCTCCACATGTGAGCAGATCAGACGGACCCAGAAGCCTACAAAGGCAGCTGAGTTGGTAGCTTTGTTGCCAGACTGTTCGTGCCCAAAGCTGTATTCATTCTTCCGTGGCCTAACCTGAGGCAAGTTACTTAATTTCCTTTGCCTCAGTTTTCCCCATCTGTAAAACCTCAGAGAGTTGTTCTGAGGACTAAGAACACTATATACAGGTGTTTGTGGCTATGGTCATCCCTCCTCCCCATACAGAGGCTTTTTGAAGGAGGTTAAGGTCAGTATCCTCCCCGCTGTGCCCAGGTCACGGCCATTCCCAAGATGGGGCCTGGGAGACAGACCCGCACGGCCTCCCGGGAGGTACCAGGGCCTGCTGGGAGAGAAGCCATCTGTCTTGTGCTTCTCAAGCTTGAGTATGGGATCTTGTTAAAATTCATATTCTAGTTGGGTGGGCCTGGGGTGGAGCCTGAGAGTCTGCATCTAAGAAATTCCTAGGTAAAGCCCAGGGACCACACCGAGTAGCAAGGGATTCTCAGGCGTTCTGCCTTTGATTGCTTGGAGCTCTTCGGCCACACCCTCCATCCCAGCAAAGGAGGCCCAGTGCCCTGCTGGGGCCCAGCCCTTCTCTCTGGTGTTTCTGTCCCTGGGACTGAGACAATGAGCCATGTGAGGATTGGGAGCAAGTCCAGCATCCACGAGGCTGTGGGACCTGGAGATCTTTCTGGTGGGTTTGGGGGCTCCGGCAAACCCTGCTCTTTTCTGTCCCCCATTCTCCATCCTGGGTGGGGACTTCCCTCTCAGACCGTATACATCTATTCCAGCACCGGTCAGTGCCTGCTGCAGCAGCTGCATTCCTAATGTAGGTCACCCCCTTTCCTAATGAGGCTGGATACTTCTGGGGGTGGGAAGGGGTCCTTGGGTTGGAGGTGTGCTTGTGGACAAAGGGCCAAACAGCCAGGAAGTTGGGTTCTAGCCCTGTATCTCCCTAAAGGTCACTTCCATGGTGCCCAAGGAGTCGGCTCCGTAGGGAGCACAGGTTCCCCTGTCCCTCCCCTGTCACGGACCTGGGGGACTTTGTTTTCATCACATTTCTCCAGAGATGCTGGGGTCAACAGTGTCCTGTTACCTCGGAAGATGACACCTGGGGGTCTGCATTGCGGCAACTCGCCTGACTGGTTTTGTACAGCTGACATCATCCAAGGCTGGGGATGGGGCATCAGGACCTGCTTAAGGCCGCTGTCTCCACTGACTGGTGCTTGCTGGTCAACCCCTGGGATCACTATTGGGATGACACTGAGGTCTGGGATTGGTGGGTGGGGTGGAAAAGGAGAGCCTGCGTGAAACAGAGGGGAGCAGGCTCAGGTGGAAGCAGGGCCTGGGCTTGGGCGAGAGGGATTCTCTGCCGCCTGTCTCCTTGCAAAAAGCTGGAAAGGGCGGGAGCAGAAGCCTGGCTTGGGTCTTGAGCACCCCTCTGAGTCTGAGTAGAGAAAATATTCTGGGGTAGGGGCTGCCCCGCGGGGTTTTCATTAGACCTTATTCCTAGGTTGGAAGTGTCCCTGTACATCTGTCTGCTGGGGGTTTTTGCTGGCTGAGAGTTGGCATCTGAGGGGGAGTGCTGGAGGGCTGCCAGCCGGGCATGCGTGTGTGCACGCGTGTGCGCATGTGTGTCTGTGTGTGAGCACGTGCCTAACTGCACAGCTCTCTGTGGGTGTGTTTGCACCATGTGCTGTGTTGGGAGCTCCAAGCATGTGTCTGGGAGCCTATGTGCACCCTGCTCTGTGCACACACAAGTGTCTCCCCATAAGGGCCATTGCTGGGTGACAGTCACCAGGGAGTGGATGAGCAGACTCCGAAGCCGGTGACCTACCTCTGATTTAGTAGGTGACCTTGGGCAAGTTGGTCATCACCTCCATGCCTTGGATGGCCTCCAACGTGCCTAATATTGTGTGGGTGCTCTGAGCTCTGGATGTGAGGCTTCCTGCTGGAGTCCGAGATTATTCCGAGGGTCAGGGCCTGAGGGACTCAGAGAGGGTGGGCACCGCTGTCTGGGACGGAGGTCCAGGAAGCCTGTGCGTGTGAGCGTGCCCCGCCCTGAGCATCCTGCCTTGGGCCATCTGCTCAGGAATAGAGAAGTAGACCCATGTGTGAGGCTGGTGGGACCAGGAAGGAGGTGTCACCTAGAACTGCTGCAAGGAGGAAGGGAACTGGGGCTTCCTCACAGCTATCATGGGCTCAAGTCCAGGCTGGGCACGTTCGCCTGAATGATCTTCTAAGGTAGTGTGTCCTAAATATAGTAAATGTTAACTCTCCTCCCTTAATTAAATTGATCTGCCCCGAGATTCCACCCATGAAGTCTTACCGTCCCCACTTTGAGAGATAAGATAACTGAGGCTCAGAGAGTTTACACGGTTTGTTTAAGGTTGCCCAGCTAGGGAGTGGTGGGGCCGGCAGTGAACCAGAGGCCTGCCCACCTGGGCTGGAGAGAGAGCCGCTGGAGAAGACGCCTGAGCTGCTCCCATCTCCTTCACGCCTCAGCCCAGGGTCTGGGGATCCATCCAAGAGGCAGTGTGGGGACCCGGGCTGCTCCCCACACTGCACGGCAGGGCCCCGGTGTCACAACACCTGGGAGGCTGGCACAACCTGGAGCCCACCTCCCCCACCCCAGGGCAGGAGGGGGAAAACCAAAGCCAAGACCCCCTCCCCGCCCCAGGCCGCCCTTGCTGAGAGCACAGCTGAAGGGCCTGCGGGGGTTGCTGGGTTTTAAGTGGGTTTTGCGACGGAGGTGCTCCATTCAAGAGTGGGGGCTGGCGAAGCACTGAGGGGCTGCAGCAGGACCCGAAATGCCTGAGGGAAACCCGCTTCACCGGAGGCAGAGATTTCAGAGCTGAATGAGTTAGCTTCCCAGCAGTCCTTCCACTTCCTCAGCTGCCTGCTTAACTCTGCCTCTGGCTTCTCCGGATTGGCCAGGGGAGGGGTGGGGGGTGGGGGGGAAGGGGGGGTGGGGGGGTAGACGGCGGGGCGGGGTGAGTGAGAGGGGAGGCTGTGACCGGGGATCACGGAGGGATGAGCAGGCAACAAAGGAGGCAGCCAGGAGTGGTGGGCTGATGGGATGGTGCCCTTTGGGGGCAGGAGGGGCTGGGCTGCGGGCAGAGTCTTCCCTCCCCATGCCCACCCCCTTCCGCACCTTGTCCCTGCCTGCTGCAGCGGCACCACAGTCCCCTTTCCCATCGCTCTGATGGGGCTGGGGGAGTGGAGGCTTTGGCCTCTATCTGAGGGCCTTAGCCATACCTGGAAGGAAATGGGGACCACAGGGCAGGTGTCCCTCTTCCTAGTCTTAGGATTGGGGCAGGGCCCGTCCTGAGACCCTAGACAGGGTGACTACCCCTCTTTTGTCATCTGCAAGAGAAAACTGCTTTCTTGCCTCTCCAGGCCTGCTCCCAGCCCTCCTTCGGCTCCGAAATCTCATCCTCTCCTTCCTGTCCCTGTCTCTTGCACGAACAGCTGCTGCAGCATGAACTCCCTGAGCTGATGAATCTTATTATAGACCAGCGGGCGGAAGACAGAGCACCGCACCTCACCTCTCAGGCGAAGGTGGAGGGGAAGCGGGCGGCCAGCCGGTGGCAGGAGCAGGGCCTGGGCCTCACGCCTGACACAGCAGCAGACTCTGCCCCCTCGGGGGCCATGGTGAGAGCAGCGCTGGGCCCGGGAACAGTGTTACTATGGCCTCACTCTGCTTACCTAGTAGATATGTCCCTCAGTGTCCCCACCTGTGATATGGGGGAAAGCTCACAAAGGAGGCCAGGTGGCCCCAAAGCATTTTAGAGATCAACATGCCAGAGGCAACAGGAGAGGCAGGGGAGGGACACTAGGGAGGCCACCGCTGGTGACTTCTGCATCCTGCAGGCAGAACTCAGCACTGGGCCACAGGCCGGAGCCTGCCCTCCTTGCCACCCCAGTCACCCCGGGAGGGGGAAGGTGTCCTGGCTTCTCTGCCCCTCGTTCTTCTCCTTCCCCCACCCCGGGAATCATACCCGAGAAGAACAGGAGAGGGAATGACAAGGAGTGTAAAGAGACACCGGGCCCTCTCCCTAACCCCTGGGCTGGAACGGGGCCTCGAGTGCTGCTCAGCTCTCATTCTCTCTCTCTCTCTCAGGACTGACAGGCAGCACACACCGAGGGGCTCCCCTCTCCCCAGAGGTGCAGGGCCGTAAGAGCTGTGGCATTCACCATGCTGGCCCGGGGCAGTGGCCCCGAGCAGAGGTCCAGGCTTGCCCTGCAGTGGAGGCAGATCTCCTGTGAGTACAGTGGGGCGGGGGCCGGTGGCAGGGGCTAGCTTGGCACGAAGTGATGCACGCCAGGCTGCAGGAAGCTCTGATCTTTCTGGGATGCCCAAGGCCCGGGAAGCCAGGGGTTACCCTCTACAGTCTTGCCTATGGTACCGGCATCTGTGGCAGCCAAAGAAAGAGTTGCCATTGAGAGCTTTAGTGGTTGAGTCAGGAGCTGGAGGTCATGACGGTGGTTCTGTGTCTCCAGGTGGGTCTGTTCCTGTGCCCAGGAAGTCCACCCCCATCCCCGGCGGTCTGGCTTGTGGGAGTCCTGCTACTCTAATGGCAAGTCTCTCTCTTGCCTTTCAATGCTGGGTGAACCTGGAGACTTCTGTCTCAGTCTTCCTAGCTCTGAAATGGAGGGAACTAGAGAGCTCTTGGATTGTGGTGTTGGAAGGACCATAGGGGTTGGGTCCCAGCCTTCCTCTTGCATATGGGGAAATTGAGGTCTCCATTTCCCATAAGAAAGCCTTGTAAGTTGTCAGGCTGAAAGAAGCCATGAGAATTCTCTTCAGTAGAGGGAAAGACACTTGAGGGGAGTTTGGCAGTCCCTCTAAGAAAGGGCTGCTGAACCATGGAATGAGCTGCTCTGTTGTAATTATTCTCTGAGGACTGGCTTGCGCAAGGCTACATGGTAATAGGTAAGAAATGGTCCTGAGGGACATTATTCTGCCTGACTTCTCCCCTCGTACACTTGGCCTGGTGACACAGCTGCAGGACATGAGCAGCCTGAATTATTCACCATGTGAGAACGGCTGATCCCTGAGCCACTCAGATCCCGTTTCAAACTCATTCTAGAATCACTCAACACCTCGCAATACAGGATTATGTTTTCTTGTCACCAGAGCTTTTATGTCACCCTGAATTTTCAGGGGTGGGGGGAATAATGGCTTCTGGTTATGATCCTTTTGTGAGGGAAGCTGGATGGATTGACTTCTTTTCTGGGGAAAGTGAGGTCTGAAGGATGTTGATTTTCAAATGGCATGGTGCGGGGTAAGGTAGGGCAGGCTGACCTGGCAGCAGAAGGGTTCAGAGGGGTAAGAGGGTGAGAGGTAGCAGCAGGTGACCCCATGTGGCCAGGAAGGGTCACTGGTTGGCTTCCATGGCCATGACTGTGCTCGTTCCTCTTGAGAATGAGGAGGCTCAGGTGTTAGCCTTGCAGTCCGCCTCTCAGCTGTCACTGACCCCACAAGTGTGGGGCGAGAACAGTCCCACACTGTTCCTTCAAGCTCTGTTCTTGGGGACACCAGACAACCAGACATCTGCCAGACACAGACTCAAGACCATCCCATTCAGGTGCTCAAGTCGGGGTGGCTGCCTTTCTGAGTGCGGTCACCTGGGCCATGAACTGGGTCTGATTCTCCATCACTTCCCTGGCTAGGGTCTTTCCTCTGTGCCTCTCTTTCCAAAAGAAAATGACCACACTGATGCTTCCTTCCCCTCTGCACCCCTACCCCCAGCTTGGAGCTATACTAGGCTAAGACATGCCACGTGTGGAAGAGATAGAGCACAAAAGGGCACTCCCACCCTGCTCTTATAACCTCCCCTGTGCTGTCAGATCTGCATGAATCCCACATCCAAGATGGAGCCAGTAATTTGCCAGACCGGGTGCTGACTTGGTGAAGTTGAACTATTTTGAGCTTACCCATTTTCTCTTCCACAGTGAGCAAACATCTATGAGACTCAGGAAGACACTTGAGGGGAGTTTGGCAGTCCCTCTGAGAAAGGGCTGCTGAACCATGGAATGAGCTGCTCTGTTGTAATTATTCTCTGAGGACCCCCCAGCCCTTCCCCAGGCTAGACTCTGAGGCTGCTTACTCAGAGGGGTCCTGGGCAAAACATGGGACCACAAAAGGAATGCTGTTAATGGGTTCATCCTGCAGAAATGCTACCCTGCAGCCCTTAGGAACAGGAGCCCAACCTAAGCACATGGTTGGTTTTAGAGTGAGAATAAATATGAAACTTCTCCTAGAACCTATGATTTGCAGTGGCTTGTGCCCAAATGTTCTTCAGCATGGAGGTGGATTTGTGCATCTTATCCTCATCATTTCTACTGTGGTCTCTGGAGTGTGACCCTAGATGGACTCCTGGTCTTCATGCTGTTACTGGCCCCCCTCTTGGATCTGACAGCACATGGGAGGTTGCAGGGGGCAGGGGTGGGAGCACCCCTTTGTGCTCTCCCTCTACCACGGTGTGTCTTAGCCTAGGGCAGCTCCAAGTTGGGGGTGGGGGGTGCGGAGGGGAAGGAAGCAGCAATGTGGCTATTTTCTTTTGGAAAGAGAATCTTTCTCTGTGACACTGGGAGAGGAACAAGGGAGCAGGTTTCTTTGACATCCTTACATCCTTTGTTTTGTCAACATCTATGGTAGCAGTGGGGCCTGAGCTCCCAAGGAGATCAACCAGGGGAGGCCCCATGAGCTGGGGCCTCCTTGTGGAACAGCACTGCTCGTCCTCTGCACTCAGGCCTGCCATTCTCCAGGATCGTACTCCACTAAAGTGGTTTCTTTGCCAGATGTGCTGTGAGGCAAGAGCCCTGCGGACACCATGTGATGTCCAGTAATATTGATGTGCTTCGGGTTGGTTAATTATCTTTTTATGTGGTCCGTAAAGGTTTGTGCTTTGATTGTGGCTTAGGCCAAAGCAGATAAAGTCAAGAGGCCATTATGTTACAAATTAGAAAGGCGGGAATTGAAGCAGGAGGTGGTAACCCCCCTTCCCCGCCTGTGGCTTTCTTTCCGCCTGTCTGTCCCCCTCCCCTCCAGGGATCACCTGCTGGATCATGCTGTATGCTGTGGAGGCCCTCCCTGCCTGCCCCTTCTCCTGTAAGTGTGACAGCCGCAGCCTGGAGGTGGATTGTAGTGGCCTAGGCCTCACCATGGTGCCCCCCGACTTGCCCGCTGCCACCCGAACCCTCTTACTCTTGAACAATAAGCTGAGTGCCCTGCCAAGCTGGGCATTCGCCAATCTGTCCAGCCTGCAACGGCTGGACTTATCCAACAACTTCCTGGACCAGCTGCCCCGGTCCCTTTTTGGGGACCTGACGAATCTTACGGAGCTGCAGCTGCGCAATAACAGCATCAGGACCCTGGACAGGGACCTGCTGCAGCACTCGCCCCTGCTCCGCCACCTGGACCTGTCCATCAACGGGCTGGCCCAGTTGCCCCCTGGCCTTTTTGATGGACTCCCAGCGCTGCGCTCCCTGTCACTTCGCTCCAACCGTCTGCAGAACCTGGACCGGCTGACGTTTGAACCCCTCGCAAGCCTGCAGCTGCTGCAGGTTGGGGACAACCCCTGGGAGTGTGACTGTAACCTGCGTGATTTCAAGCACTGGATGGAGTGGTTTTCCTACCGAGGTGAGAACAGCTAGTCCTGCCTGGATGTAAGGAATCAGGACAATCACCCCTGGCCCAACATATTTCCTGGAGGCTGGGCGCTGACTCAGAGCCAAGGTCCAGGGAGAAGGGGGTGGCCCTACCTCTCCACTAGCTCTGGGCTAGAAGAGTCTCAGCCTGGGCTCCAAACCATCGGCAGGGCAGAGAGGCTGGTGCTGCTCCCCCCCACCTCCCCACTGCTCCATGTTCTTCTCTGTGTGCCCCTCCCAGCTCCCAGCCTCCTTCCTCTTCTTTTTCTTTCAGACTGACTCACTGTAACTTGATCTCACTTCTGTAGGTATTGTGAGGCAACTTAATAATTTTTCTCTACATCCCACCAGGTATGCCTCTGGGCTTCCCTGGCATGGTAGGAGGAAGAAAAACCACCCTTGCTCGTCTGAATAATACAGCAATTTCTTAAATATCCACAGTTTCAGGAGGGTGGAATATAATTTAAATCCACAGATAAAACCAAATTTTCATTTTGATGATGATCTCAACTCTCCCAAGAAGTTTTATATCCAAAGCTTTTAATAAGAAGCCAAATGGCTTTAGTTTTACTCTTTCCCTTCCCTCTTTTGGGGAAAGTTCTAGAATGATCTATAAGATGATTAAATGTAATGAAAAGGAGGGCAAAGAAGTGAGTGTAGTAGTTAAAAGTGCCAGATCCGGGTTTGATTTGTGGCTCTGTCACTTACTAGCTGTGTGATCCTGAGAAACCTCTCTGTGACAGTGTCCTCATCTGTAAAATGGGTCAAATAACAGCTATCTGATAGAATCATTGTGAGGACTAAATAGTAATGCATGTAAAGTGTCCTTTTAAAAAAGATTTTATTTTTTTGTCAGAGAGAGAGAGAGCACAAGCAGGGGGAGCAGCGGGCAGAGGAAGAAGCAGGCTCCCTGCTGAGCAAGGAGCCCGATGCGTGACTTGATCCCAGGACCCCGGGATCATGACCTGAGCTGAAGGCAAGAGGCTTAACCGACTGAGCATCAGCATGTAAAGTGTCTTGAAAAGTACTTAGCATAAAGCAAGTCCTCCATAAAACCTATTCATTTATTTGTTCATTTGCTACTAGTAGTCATAATATTAAACAGACTTAATAAGACAGAATTTGGTGCCCAGCACAAAGTAGATGCTCCATGAGTACTTGCTGAATGAGTGAATCAATGTGAAAAGAACGCCAATCCTTTTCATCAGTCTTGCTCTTTTTGTTTCATATCCAGGCACAATCTCAATTATTTGCATGATATTCTCCTGTGTTAGTTAATTAAACAATTTTACAGGGGAGCCTGGGTGGCTCAGTCGGTTAAGCGTCTGCTTTTGGTTCAGGTCATGATCCTGGGGTCCTGGGATCAAGCCCTGCTTCCAGCTCCCTGCTCGGCAGGAAGCCTGCTTCTCCCTCTGCCTGCCACTCCCCCTGCTTGTGCTCATTCTCCCTCTCTCTCTCTTTCTCTCTCTCTCTCAAATAAATAAATAAAATCTTTAAAAAAATTAAAAAAAATTTTACAAACTGTAAAGTGCCATAAAATGTTAGTCACTATGATACTTTCTCCCATTCTTGTGAGTCAGGAAATAACAATTAATACTTATATAGTTTCCAGTTTATAAATATCTTTTCATGTACATTATCTATTTTAATCCTTATAGCAGTTAATCGAGTCAGCCATTCTTACTTTATGGCCAAGAAAACCAAGACTCATATGCAATTAAATAAGTTAAATAATTTGCATGAGATGACATGGCCAGGATTCAACCTCAGGTCTTTGAGCAGGAAGATGAGGTTGCCACCATCTCAACACCTGGCTCCTGCCTGTACAAAGGTGGCCCTTGGACACACTGCACTGGATGTAAGACTTGCCACAGGGCCCCCAGGCAGTCAGTGGCACGGGGGGGACTAGAGGCCAAGGGTCTCAGCCCCATGTGTTATCCCTAGGCAACGTCCTTGTCCTTTCACATAGCTATCAGGAACTAAATTCTCAGCACAAAAGGGCATGGAGTGGGAATGTCTATTTTTGGGACTTTTCAATAGTACAGTTGTTTTCAACCTTACACTTCTTAAAAAAAATTCCTGGGATGTTTTCATCAGCATCCCAGGCAAAGCGTATCTACTGTCTAAGGAGATGTGCAGCAGCTGCTCTGGGAGAGGGACTGGCAGGGAGGGGATGGCAGGAGCCTGTCGGCAGGAGCCATTTGGGAAGGGATTTCTTGCTCGCGTCCAGATCTCACTGGAACCTGACAGAGGGACAAAGTCTGACTCTGACTTCCTAGGGGATTCTCCCGAGCTACCTTCTCTCTCACCCACCCGTGTTCTGCATCTATATCCTCTCATGACCTCACCATGGTCCAGCCTCACCATCGTCATGATGAGCCTGTGCACCTATTGCTGCCCACACCCCCCCATTAGTCCTGGCCCCCTCTCCTTTGCCCTCACGGGTCTCAGGGTTCCCTCTCAAGATGCCACTGCACTCAGAGAAGCCGTGGTCGGGGTGCTGGTGGGCTGCTGGATTGCTCTTAAAGAGGAAAAGGCAAACGTTCTCACCCAATTTTTTCTCCCCACTCCAAAGAGGTAATCTTGGACAACCAAAAGTTTCCACATGGAAAAGTGGTGGCTGGGGCAGTGGCTTTTGACTTGTCTTTTCTGTGAGACGGAGGAACTCTGGAGGGATAAGATAGAGTGGAGGAGTGTCCTGGGTTTACAGATGGGCGGGGAGCAGGCAGATTCAGGGGCAAGGAGAGGAGCGGAACGGTGGCCCATGCAGGACTCTGTTTGCATTGCTGAGTCTTCCCTGAGCACCAGCACATGTTAGCGGTGCCAAACTGCTGCGAGTCAGTTTGACTCTGGACAGAGCAGACTTGACTGAAATGGTTGTGTGCTTCTCTAAAATGGGAATAATGGCAATATCCATTTCGTATGGCTTCTGTGCAGGTGAAATGACATGATATATGTACCTCACCTATCATGGTCCTTGGCTTCATAAATGCTAGTTGTTCGTCTCCCTTCCTCTCCTACTGATGTGAATCCAGGACCGACTGCATTCCTGGGCCTTCCATTTTGGGGACCTGGGGATGGGGAGAAGGAGTCCAGGTTCTGGATGCCTGGTCAGCCCCTGCTTTCTTTGTCCCCTGGATGCAGGGGGGCGCCTGGATCAGCTGGCCTGCACCCTACCCAAGGAGCTGAGGGGGAAGGACATGCGTGTGGTCCCCATGGAGATGTTCAACTACTGCTCCCAGTTGGAGGACGAGAATAGCTCAGCTGGGCTGGATATTCCTGGGCCACCCTGCACAAAGGCCAGCCCCGAACCCGCTAAGCCCAAGCCAGGGGCGGAGCCTGAGCCAGAGCCCAGCACAGCCTGCCCCCAGAAGCAGCGGTATCGGCCGGTGAGCGTGAGGCGGGCCATCGGCACGGTGATCATCGCGGGGGTTGTCTGTGGCATTGTCTGCATCATGATGGTGGTGGCAGCTGCCTATGGCTGCATCTATGCCTCCCTCATGGCCAAGTACCACCGGGAGCTCAAGAAGCGGCAGCCCCTCATGGGGGACCCGGAGGGTGAGCACGAAGACCAGAAGCAGATCTCTTCTGTGGCCTGAGGGCCCAGCCCCACTTGGCCTAGGTAGGAAGGGCCGGGACAGCATGCGGGGGATGGCTGCAGTAAGGGCTGGCCCTTCCCTCCAGCGCAGTCCCCTCTTGCACGCGTGCCCCCAGCTCTCCAGCAAACAAGCCCCAGTGCGGCTGTCTCCATGAACTTCCAAGTCTCTGCGGAAGCCGCCCTTGCGCTAGAGGCTCCTGCTCCTGCCCCACTCGGGGCCACCGAGTCTCTGGGACAGCTGGGGGGTCTCCCTAAGCTTCTGGCCATGGGGAAGGAAGGCTATGTGTGTAAGTGCAGGCTTCTGGACTCAGTGTTCCTCTATTGTCCTTCCTGCCCTAGGTCACTCTCCCTACCTCCTGCTCGTAGCACCTCATCTGCACGTAGGTGTGGGGAAGAGGGATATGGGGGCCAGCGGCCAGTTTCCGTGACCCCCTTCTAAGCCAGGAAGATACTTTCAGCTGCCCTTCAGGGTCCAAGCTGGTTCCAGCTTTCAGTCGCTAGCACTAATGTATAATCACAGCAACCATGGCATCTGGACCCAGCACTTAGGAACACAGGACACACTCCCCCTGCTGAAGCCACCACGTCCCTCTGCCTGCTACAGGCCACACACCAGCCACACTGCTCCTGGCTTCACCCATTCCTCTCACACACACTCAGCATCACCAGCGCAATTACATCGCCTGGAAATCTCTGTCTGTCGGTCGGTCTGTCTCTCACGCACACAGAATCACCCGGAGACAGAGGTCATGAGAACTCAGGGAGTGGAGACCTGTTTCCCCCCTGTGGGTCTCTGGCCCTCAGGCCACAGACCCTTTTGCTTGCTTACTGCAACCTTCTCAAGTCAACAGAGGGGAGAAGCCCACTCCGACAACACAAGGATTCCTTTGAGATCCTCTGAAGTGGGCCAGAGTGGTGCTGCTGGATGAGACTGCCTGTCACCATGGTAACCCTCTCACACCTCTCCTGCTGGGTTTTCCAGGGACACCGGCCCAGAGGCCTTGAAGCTGCAGCATGTGTGGATGGCAGCCTCCCGAGAGCCCAGGCACATACCACTGGGCAGTTCTTCAGCGCCGTCTAAGGACATCATCACTGCCAGGCCCCGTGGGGACCCCCACCAATTCCACTCCTATAGCCTGCAGCCCAAGAACCATTGCTCTGTACCCCTCGCCCCTCCATCTTCAGCAGCTCTGGGCCTGGGACCTTGGGGTGGGGACTGGGTCACGATTGGTGGCATCTTGGGAACGCAGACAGCCCTCGCGGAAGCTCACTGCCTGAGCAGACCCCAAGCAGGCGCCCGGGGTGGGGAGAGGGCTGCACGGTCTGCCCAGAGGCTTCAGGGCTGGGCTTCCTTCCCAGGGTTTTGTGTGCTCAGTCCGGCTGCCTGGAGTGTTGAATTGCACCTGGACTGGGCTCCAAACCAGAGCGTGGGCCCGGGGTCCTGTTTGTCACCTGTAGCCTACACCAAAGGGGTGGCAGGTGAGGAGACGGCTGTGCGGGGGTTTGGGGGTCACGAGTCCCCTTTTGTAGGTTGGCCCCCGCCCCGTGAGTCTGAGCTCAGATGAGTACTAGGTCTCCCTCTGCTGGACACCCGTTTTCCCATGGCTTATGGAGAGTCAGGAGGTATCAGGCTGGTTTCTGGCTCTAAGACGGGGTCTTGCTGGAGGCCTGGGAAGAGGCTTCCAGAACACGGAGGCCAAGGCTCTGAGGAGGGACAGGGCAGGACAGGGCAGGCCTATCTTGCCTTGCACCCCTTGATCCTTCCACCTCGTAGAGGACCGTGGTAGGTGAGGGGGGCTGGGGGGGCAGGGAATGCCTTTGAACAGCGAGGGCCTCAGTGCAGGCTGCTTGGTGGACTGCAGAACATGCCTCCCTGGGGCTGGGGCATAGTCTTCCTTCTTTTGGCTTTCCAGCTGATACCAGATCTAGGAATTTGCTAAAGGAAAAGGAGGGGAGGGGTGGGTATTGTCAGTGGTGTTATCTTCAGCCTGAGACAGAAGATTTTTAAAGGCAAAATTATATTTCTGGTTTGTTGTTTCAGAAGAACAATAAAGACTGTATTTTCCTACGTACCTCTTGGTTTCCTTGGGTGGGGAGGGCATGTGGGCTCTGGGAGAGGGGCTTCCTGCCCCCTTACCTGCCCAGACAACTACAAAAAGTGCTGCAGGACCTCACCCCAATGTCCAGAGCTCCATCAGAGAGATGGGAAACTCCTGCCTGAGGCCTCGCCTGGGGGCAGCGCCGGGACAGGTGTCGAGGGCTGAGCTGGATCAGAACGGGGTCTGTAGCTGAGTGCAGCAGGTTACCCGGGGGCTGGGCTGACGGTATGAATTCGTGAGCCTCAGGCTGGTTTCACTGTGCAGCACTGGGGACTGAAGGCGAGCGGGAGACCATCACTGCTCAGTCCCGCTGTGTGCACATCTGCCCTGGCTTGAGCCAGTCCACCCTGGCAGTCAAGGGCAGAGGAGCCAATGTGGTAGGAAGGCGTGCATTTGCCCAGAGGACCCCGCTGTGTAAGGGGAGGTGGCGGGAGGACTCCCTAGGAGCTGCTCATTACGTTTCATGAGACTTGGTGAGTTTGGGGGTGTTGCTAACATGAAGGAGGAACTCTGTTTAACTTATATTCCTCTTGCACCCTCAAACTGACTTTAGGGACAGGCAGATGACCCTCTGCACTTACAAAATGATCCTTCCAGGGCTCAGCAGGTGGGGACTCAGAATTATGAGCTGGAGGGCTGGGGCTGGGGAGACCAGGAGAGGAGATGAGCCAGAGAACAAGGTCTTGGGGGTTGTTTGTCCACCTCAAGCCGGAGTGACTCACCTCCAGGCCTGGACTGGCCTCTGGCTGACTGGGCCTGGCCTCTATGGTTCATTAGTCTTCAGAGACCAGGATGGAATTATCTCCTTCCTAAGAGCTTTCCTTTGGCTGATATCCCAATGAGGCCGGAGCAAGCCCTAGGCAGAAGTGAGCCCTCCAGGTCCCTTTCCTGGAGTTCAGCGGTACTCCCAGCAGAGCTGGGCTGCTTGCCTTTTAGAGGTGGTGATAAATGTGGGGTGCTGCTTTAACAGGCAGAGTGGACCTGAGAGACAGTCTTCCCCAAGCCCCGCTGCAGAAGCAGAGGCCAAGGTCCCTCAGCAGCCCGGCACAGGCCTGGGTAATGCGTAGGTGTGTCGTACGCGCCACTGTTTGGCGTGTGTACGTACAGACCCATCCGCACAGAGGCAAGGCCCTGAGGAGAGGAGCGCTCGCGGCTCCAGACAGCAGGCTCACCGCCAAAGGCCTCTGGACGGGGGCACAAGGGTATTGCATGGCATGTGCTAGAGGAACACGCTTGCAGATTATGGTGCCACCATCATTATGCTGGGCAATACTCCCCAACTAGGTCTGGAGGGCATAGGGAGTTGAAAATGGATCCTGATCAAAAAGTTAGATTCCTAGAAATTCTGCATCACCTCTTGGTAAATCACCTGCTTAGAGATTAAAAGGATCCTTCCCCATTCAGCTGCCCTTCCGTAGGACCCCGTGGCATGACACACACATCTGGCACGTAGCTGGCCCCAGTAGTTGGGCCTGGTGCCCTTCTTCTACCTTCTCCTCTTGCTCAGGGCAAACACCATCACCCCTGTGGCCCACCCATCAGCTGCCAATGCTTGCCCAGTCTGGGAGCCCCTGTGCATACAGTGCCCCCGGTTTCCAAGGGATGAAGCTGTTGGGACAGCACCCCGGTCGCCTCCCTGCTTTGAGCCCCTCTGGCCCAGGGTCAAGGAGGCTGAGCCATAGTCCAGGGAGGGGAAATTACAAAAGGAGACCCTCCCAAAACTTGAAGCGTAAGGTCTCTAGTGCCTCACTCTTTTCCTATCATATCCACACACCCCGGAGCCTCAGAGCCATTGTCTGCAGTGAGTTAAACCAGAGGCACCAGGACACGGTTTCTATGGCAACCCCTGGAGGCTCTAATTCAGCTCTGAGTTAAAAATGATATCAAATAATTGGAGAGTGCAGGAGAGCGCATCCAGCAGCCTGACCCGGTGTCCCCTCTGTTCCTAGACTCTCGGGTATGCAGGGGCTGAGAGGGTCCACGCCACGGAGGGAGCAGGACAGGGACACACTCAGCTGGGACCGCCGAACAGGCTCGAGGGAAACAAGTTTGGGTCCAGTTTTGGCCTAGCAGTGGGTCTGGGGTTAGCACACTGTGGTCCAAGTTTAAAAATGCTGCTGAGATGGCACGAGTCCCTTCCAAATGCTAAAGCGGTGCATCCTGAAGGCCACCGGTGGGGCGCGTGTTGCCTTTGGCGGGAAGTCAGGGTCGGATGATCTCAGCCAGACCCCAGCCTGCTCCTCCCACCTCCTTTGCCCTGAACCCAGCCTGGGGGGCCAAGGCTCACCCAGCCCTGCCTGTGCCCCACCCCACCCCTCTGGCTGCGGAGTCCTTTCTCTGGGGTCCCTGGGGAAGCAGGACAGGACCCGTGATGGCTGATGCTTGAGCGCCCACTGGTCTGCACAGCTGTGCAGAACCGAGCTGGGGCTGAGACATGGGAACTGAAGCCAGGATAAGGAGGGTTTCACCACACAGGCCTGATCACACTCAGGCAAGGAGGCCCAGGTGCAAAGGACTCTTTTAGGTACCGAGAAACCACCACGTCTGGGCAGCTGGGGAGGGTCACTGGGTGCTCTTATCCCCTTTGAGGTCAATGGCAACACAGGGTAGGAAGCTGGGTCTTAACCTGTCTGAGCTTCATTTGACTTCATAAATTCTTTTGAATCTCAGGTTTTATAAGCAAAATGGCTTGGGAAGACTCCTTTTTCCCTCAGTCCCTCCGTTCAGCTGGGAAAACCTCTGGCCGGAGGACTGTGGCCCTCGTGGACCACAGGCAGGGTCCTCCTGCTATTACTGTGTGCCTTGTTCCTGACCTCGACTCACAACACCCCGACCGCCGTGGTGCAGAGGGCAGCTCCTACCTGCAGCAATGGCTGTCTTCTTGTCCACGGTCACGGCCACA